TTTTTTAGGAGCGCGATCTTACGCCGGACGAGCCCACCCATATGTGATGCAGCCATACTATAGCTGCAGCGTGACTGTACCACGTATAATGTAGAGGTATATCCAGTGGGTAAATAAAAGCTACTGTTACTGCTAGCATATTCATAAATGTTGACCATGTTGAAATAACAATATTTCGATTTACCTCCCTTTCAAAGGTTTAGAAAATTTAAGGCATGATTTAATGTATAGCTGTTTTCTCTTTGTCTTTATAATCCGACCCTTTTCCAAATTTCGAGACGTATTAATAACAATGTGGACGAACAATAATCTTTGTCATAATATATTATCCTATTATTGAAATGAGAAATTTGACGTAATAGTATTGATTCGTTAATTACACTCCATAAAATCGCTAAATGTAGGCTCATATTATATCTTACCTCAGGGGATATTTGCCATAGTTGCTACGCTTGGCAGTCGGGTTGGCAACCGCAGTTTTTTTGTGATTATTTAGTTGTTATCAGGAAGATGTTGCTGCCCATCTCCTGTTTTATTTCTCTCTGTCTCTTCTTATAACCTGGGGTATTACATTAATTGATGTAAGTTATGTTTTTTGCAAAAAGGGTATTACATGAAGTGTGAGTGGGGGTTGGTAATAGATATATATTTTAATTATGTTTTCAGTTTTGGAGGCTTGTCAGGTTTAAGCTTTACACTGTTTTTGGATGTTGGAAATGCGTTTTGAATTAATTATGATAAAAACAAATTTCACCAAAAATTGCTTATAACGAAACGCAAATATGTCAATTCGTTCTCGTGTTATGAAGTATACGTCGGGTACTTGATTTGTTAATTTTGTTTCCAATTTAGGAAGTTTTTCAGGGGTAAACTCGAACCTTTTACACTGTTTTTGGATTTTGGAAATACTCTTTGAATTAATTACGATAAAAATAATTTTCACTAAAAATTGCATATAACGAAACGCAAATATGTTAATTTTTTTTAACACATATACACTCATAAAAAGTTAATCACTCGGACCCAGATAATCCATTTGTGGCTGAAGACGGGACTCATATGTCGTATGAGTCGCAGTGGAGAGCAATCAAGAGGTTTTTCAGAAAACAAAATTATAACAATTCACATTACATAATTTAATTTACCACTACCATAGCAGAGTTTAGGGCAACCTGACTTTATAGATACGATTGGTTGAATCGGTTCTAAAACCGAGTTATCACGCCACGGCTTCACATACATATACACTTAACATTTCCGCAAATGGGGAAGGGTAGGGGGGGCTTCCCCTGAACCCCCTCCCCCTTCCTACTCCCACCACCGTACACGAGTACCGGATATCTATAGTTTAACCGTGAGTGGTGAATTTTCTTACGCTGCACTACACGGTGATGGATGTCAAGGTATATTCATAATAAATTAATGTGGGTTGAATAATGTCGGCATTAAAAAATCACCCCGTCTCAAATGACCGTCAAAGAATAAGTATTTAGTAACTTACCGAGTTAAGAGTATTGAACGTTGAAGTTAACATATTTTTATTTACAATTATAAGATAGTGTTTGTTTATATAACAATATTTACTTTACTAAATGATAGCCCTCTTACCATTTTCTGCCATCAAGTAACAGTACGTGCACTGTTGTATTTCTATTCGAAAGGTAAAGAGAATCAGTATGATTGCAGGATGTTAGGCACTCCATTTTAGTCCTCAGACGTGACAAAACGACTGAAGTCTGTAAATTTATGATTGAAATTGTGTATTTTCTTTAACTGGTTAAAGGAACAAAGAATTAAGCGGCTAATACGTTCAAAGTTAATTTAATGGTGTTATGGTGGAGCGAGAAACGAGCCCGCCTTATACTATCATAGCAATGCGCTTTGTATACGTTTCTCAAAGTAAACTCGGAACAGTTTAGACAAGTTGGTTACAGATATCCATGGGCTGCAGTAGCTTTTTGCGATCAAGTGGACTGTAAGTTGGTTTATCAGTTCTATTATAGAAGACTACATACAATTATCTACTTAAGTTATGTTGATATCGATTATGTTAATATTTTGAGCTTTAAAAATCAGATTTATTACAATAACTTTCTAATTGGAATTTGATAAATTTGAAAATCATTAATACGAAACAATACACTTTTATTGATAGATAACCTAAAGCTTACTCTGGCTGTTTACAATAATAACCTTCAAAACTTTTGACCCTTGTCATTATCGCCTATCAAGCTCCATCGAAACGGGTCCATGTTTATTTTGAAACACGTAAATAATTCGCATCGTAATGAGATTAGCAGGCAAAGTTTTATTCTGAAGTAAATGAAATTGCTGCATGACAAAGTAAAACACGACTGTAAATCGTATTAAGTTATAATTAAGTGAGACTATAATAACTTGCTTAACTTTTAATTTATATTTTTTAATTATTCAATAGAAACAGCCTATGATGAATGCTATAAGAGACGAGAATGGCTATATTCTGAATGATGAAGTTTTGAGTTTAAAGAGGTGGAAGGAATATTTTGAAAGCGTGTTTATGAGTGATGAGACAACGTGAGTACTAAGTGAAGTAGAAACTCCGAAAGAAGAGGAAAGAGGTAGCGAGATAAGTATAGATGAAATAATGAAAGCAATGAAAAGCATGAAAGCAGGTAAGGCTGCCGGACATGATAGAGTTTCACTCGAAATGCTAAGGGCTGGAGAGGAAGTCGTGGCAGGCCTGCTGCACACCTTGTTTAATTTATGCTGGGAACTGAAGCGGGTACCGGTAGACTGGTGCAAAGCCGTGATAGTCCCAGTATATAAAGGAAAAGGGTCGCAGCAGGACTGTATAAACTACCGTGGCATCAGCCTTCTTAGCATTGTGAGAAAACTGTATGCTAAGGTATTGATTGAAAGGGTCATGAAAGAAACTGATGGAAAAATTTGGGATGTGCAAGCGGGATTTAGAAAGGGAATGGGATATACAGATTAAGTCTTTTCCATGCGCATGATCGCGGAGAAGTTTTTGGCCAAAAACCAAAAGGTTTTTTGTGCGTTCATGGACTTGAAAAAGGCCTATGACAGAGTGGATAGGGATGTGCTATGGCAAAAACTGAACTCATTTGGGTTAAGCGCTGGCTTGATACAGGCATTGGAGTCTCTTTATAGGAACTCTAGTGCTTGTGTTAGAATCAACGGGGTCTACTCGGACTGGTTTGACATCCATAAAGGTGTCAGACAGGGCTGTGTGGCTTCCCCGTGGCTGTTCAACCTATTTATGGACAGTTGTTTGCAAAATTTAAAAGTTGAAGAATGGGGATTCAGAATGGGTGAGTTAACCGTCAAATGCCTTTTGTACACTGATGATCAAGTTATTCCTTGCGTCGTCGGCGGCCGAGTTGCAAATGATGGTTACATTAATGAACAGATCATTAAAAGAAAGGGGTATGAAAGTGAACGCAAGTAAGACGAAGGTTATGGTTTTTGAAAGAGAAGAAAGTAAAACGATTTGTGAAATAAGAATAGAAGGGGAGTTGATCGAGCAAGTAGATGAGTTTGTCTATTTAAAAATCTGCCTGATCTAAATGGAGTAATTGATTAAAAATACAAGAAATTTAAAAAATACATCATCATAAGAACTAAGTCCGTAGAGAATTCCTAATTAAACTAATCGATTCACCGACTAGAAAGAGCAGAATAGCGTCTTTGTAATACAGACTCATGACTAAAATATTGTGTGTATAATTAACACACAACAAGTTGTTTTACAAGACAATGCCGTCTTTAATCTTTATTGCTGTCGTACTCAATGTTAACAGCTCGACACCAAAATTCTTATATATTTTATATAAACTAAAATGAGAATATACGAGTAAGATTAGAATTATTGTGGATGGTTCCGAAATCAAGTTATGATTATTGTTATATTATCTACTAAATCTTGGCCACACGGTACTGATTTTAATTGATAAAAATTTACTTGTATAAACTATAATAAAACTTTAGAAGACGATTTGTGTAGATTAAATATTCTTTTGAAATTTCTTTTGGGGTGTACTTGCTGCTGCTTCTCACTTGGTCAACACTCCGTTGCGCTGCGTAGTCTATAAATTTTTAGCACCACAAAATAAATTGCCAAAATTTTAAAAGGCCCTTTGATAGAACTAAATGTATATTTTTAGGGTTTTATATATATATATATATATATATATATATATATATATTATATATACATATCGACGCTTGAAAGGCAATCCTTACTAACCGACATAAATCCGTAAAATGAGTTATATATACCATTCGAACCGCCAGATTTTTCTACGTCGTTTGGTCTAGGTCTCATAGTTCTACGACGAGTTTTATTGTCGCTTAGATATTGCATGATTTCGGTCAAATCTACATTTTGTACTTACTAAACGACCAAAAAAAAAGTGATTTTAAGAATATCCAGCAGTTACGACATTCTAACAACTAGGAATATGAACTTAGTCGGTTTTTCATGTATTGACTTTTTCATTTATTTGTATTTACGTATTTTTACTTGTTATGAAATTTTCCTTTGAAACCACTCAGTAGATGTAACCTACACAAAGCAATTGTAATTTATGTGGTTATGTATTTTAACTTGTTATTTTATTTTGTGACAGTGTCATTTGTATAAGTTAACCTGAAAAAAAGTTTAAGAATATTAGAGCTTAGGTATTTTTACATGTATAACATAATATTTCTTTTTTATCCTTAGATATTTTTATTTGTTAACGGTTAATATTAATGATGTCGGTTAGATAGTCTTACTGGATTTGCTAAATGGCTAAGTATGGCGCCTAGATAAATTTACCCGTACGCAAAATTTATTTTCTCGTCGCTAAGGAACTGCTCGAGTTTAAAAAACGTCGTGTAGGTATGCGCGACATATCGCGACACGTGTCGTGACACGTCTATATGGGTTCTTATTCAGGCGCCCGCCGTCGCTTAGGGAGGACGTACTTCACATTTTGGCGCGCATTAAATGAAACATGGTAAGTATTCAATCAAATTATGCAAAGGTAGTACCTATTTCAAAACAGCATTTCGTTTCGGATTATTTTTAAACTCAATTACGTTTTAGATAGAATAAAGTACTTATTTTAAGTCAATTTTATTTTACTTTGCAGCAAAAAATGAGTCGCGAGCGGAAACGACGTAGTTCATCCATAGTCGAGATGGCGTTGGTCAATGCCGGCATAACAAGGAATGTTCCGCAGTGTCGAAGACGATTGAGTTATGATCTAAACACAGTAAGTAACCAATTTTTTATAATTTGTTTCAGTACCTATTTATTTATCTTGTAAGTTCACTTAGTAAAAATACTCAGCATAAATCTGACATCATCGAATTAATTTTTTTGCAGTCTGCGGCTTGGTCAACTAATAGCAATACAAAGCAGTTTAACAAAACGTTAGAGCCAGCTTCTATCAGAATTGACACTTCGAAAGATTTAGCTTTTCCGGTTCTTGCCGATAGTTTAATATCCACCGCCACAGATCACACTGAAATAACTGCATCGATTAATGCTACAAGCATATCGGTTGATCACGAATTTAATATCACTTTAACTGCTGAACCAGATATTGAAGAACCGACTTTGAATCATCACCAAGTTGAGAAAAACACACAATATACATCACTTACGTCAGATCATGATGTACCGTCTACATCGGCAGGACCAAGCAAAGAATCTATCGTATCAAATCCAATTAAAAGTAAAGTTGGTAAAAGAAAATCCAACAAAGATATTAAATATATTGACTATATGTCAGATCAAGAAGACTTTTCTACTTTTTATGGTGACATAGCTGATTCAGATAATTGGTCAGAAGGACAAGAAGGAATAACATCAGAAGATGATTTGCTGTCAGAGGAACAAAAAGTTAAAAGAAATAAAAGGTACACCAAAAAGGGGTCAAAAATCAAAGACAATGGCAATACCCAAGATGATGTAGTCGGAGAATCTGCGAGGAGAATAAAAAAATCCAATTCAAGAAAAGAACGGTCAAAAAACAAAAATTCTGGTCAACAATATATAACAAATAAGGGTGTCGTTGTACCAGCAAAAACTGTATTGGCTAATCCTTGTTCTGGCAAGAAATGTGGCAATGACTGCGGGTCTCTGTCTGAAGAAAGAAGAGAAAGCTTATTTAATTTTTTTTGGAATCTTGACAAAACACGTCGCCGTGATTGGTTAGTATCCCTGTCTCAAAAAGAAAATATTAAACGGAAACGCACCGATTCTAATAAGCGCAACTACACTATCAAATATTTTATCAACGAAGGAGAAGGTAGAAGATTTGTTTGCCAACAATTTTTAGCAGCCACTCTGAACATTTCTGATAAAACAATTTACAGTATAGTAAAAAATGCTTCTTGGGGATGTACACGAGAAGATATGAGAGGGAAATGTGAGCCACCAAATAAAACCAAAAATCCACTATAGATACCGTTGACAGGTTCATCAAAAATTTACCAGCTGTACCTTCGCACTATTGTCGTCAAGACTCAAGCAAAGTTTACCTTCCCCAAGAATACAAAAATGTCACCAACTTGTATAAACTTTACAAGCAGCATTACGTGAGTCAGGGTGTGGACGTAGTAAGTGATAGAATTTTTCGTAAAATATTTCAAGATAATTTTAACATTGGATTCCATGTACCTAAAAAAGATAAGTGCCTTAAGTGTCTTCAATACGAAAATAATAATAATCCCGAAAAGCAAAGAGAAAAGGAAGAGCATGAAACAGAAAGTTATGCCCGTTTTAAAGTTCACAAAAATATTCATAAGGATGATCCTGAAGGATCTCTCTCTTGACTGGACTCTTTGTGCTAGTTTTGATCTCGAAAAAGTACTTAACACATCCTATGCACAATATATGCTTTTGTACTACAGTAGAAAACTAGCTGTGTACAATTTGTGTGTTTATGAAAATGGAACTCGTAAAGTTTTCTGTTACTACTGGGATGAGAGCAATGGTAAGCGTGGCGCTAACGAGATTGCATCTATATTACACAAATATATTCAATTGGTAGATGCCAGAGGAAACGTCACTCGATTACTTCTGTATGGTGACTGTTGTCCGGGCCAAAACCGTAACCGTACTGTGTTGGCAATGTTGCATTCATCATTACAGGAGTGTAAAAATATCGACACTATTCAAATAAACTTTCTCTTGACTGGACACACTTACATGCCCGTAGATACAGTGCATGCTATTATTGAAAACAGATTAAAGAATACAACTGTTTACGCACCATCACAATGGTTTACAGTTTTTGCAACTGCTAGACAAGAACCAGCGCCTTTCGAGGTAGAAAGACTGAGTTATGAAGATTTTTATAGATGGGATAGTATGAGTGACAAATATTATGAAGGCAACTTAACTGGAAAAATAAGCAAGATCCGAATTATGACTTTCAGAAAAGACAAGCAAAGCGTTAAATATAAAACATCTATGAATCCTACTGCGGCTTCCTTTGATATTGAAGTTCAGTCTAAAACCAAGGTATCTCTTTTACCTTGTTATCGATCGCAACTTCCCATATCAAAAGCTAAATATGACGATTTAGTCAAACTTTGCGTGGACAAAGTTATTCCTAATTGCTTTAAACATGAATTTGTGAACATTCCACGCGCAACAAATGTTAAAGATTGTCTACCGGATTCAGACATTGAAGAATGTGATATTAATATTTAGATTGAGTAACTAACAAGATCTCAGGATTTTGTTTTATATTGCTATATTTTTGATATGTAAAATATCTTGATTATTTCTAGAGACTGATTATGTTATGAGAATAATAATTATAAGTGTTGTTATTATAATAATTACAGTGATACTTATGATTGTGTCAAATATTTTCACGCTTTGCACAGCAGGTTGATCTTGCAGTTATTTTGTATTTATTTGGTTTGTTTACTATGTTTAATATTTTATTAATAATTAATTTACTCACAATTGTGAGTTATATTTTTTTTTGAAGTGAGTGATGAAGATGATAGTGTAATTTATAATTGCGACAGCAATAATAATTGTTCAATTAAAAAATATATTGATCTCAGAGTGAATTTTGTGTTTAGTTTCCTTATTAATTTTGTATGGTCGGCACTACGTAGCGTATTTGTTTAATTTTCAATAAAGACTTTTATTCAATAATAATTGATTTCATTTATTTTGGTGCAATATAATATTTACCTACAAAGTTCTTCGTTAAATGTAAGTTAGAAAGGGAGGTTTGGGGTAATTTTAATAACTAAGATACATTTTCCACAATCACAAAAATCATTAAATAATGCTTAGGCAAACTTACTTGATTTATTTTAAACTTACAGATCTTTTTAGATCAATCTTTCTGTATTAAAATTCTAAACTCAGTAAGTTTACCTATTTTGACATATTACTGCACACACTACAGTGACGATTTTACCTATTTATCAAATCAGGTCAATTTTATCTAACCGACACAAACCGGTGTCTGTAAAAGCGTCAGGTGTCTTATTTTGACAATTTGGATAGCTATGAAAAAATTATTTCTACGGTGTTATTATCATTTTGATCTAACAATTAGGTGATTTTTTATGATTTTTTTTTAAATATTTGAACCTTAAATCATTCTCCTGTAAAGTTTACTCAATGTCGCTTAGTGAGGGTTGCCTTTCAAGCGTCGATATATATATATATATATATATATATATATATATTTATATATATATATAAATATAAATATATCTATTCTAGTTTGTTCGTTTGTTGATCTGCTATATACTGCGGTAATTGTTTCAGTGACCAGTGATTACTAACTTAAAATTTGGCAGTATTATAGAATTTATTTCACGGAGCTTAGGTACTATTGTCCAAGAAGTGCGGTTTTTTTGTAATACTAAACAATTGTAAATTTTTGTTATAAAAATAAATGTAAGATTCCATAAACCGTATATATCAATAAGGCTTGGATTTTAAAAGAGCACTCAAAATGCTCCCTCTCATCCTAAGGTTAAATATTATGATGCCATCATATGTATGACCAGACAAACTCAAATTACTTTTAAATTTGAATTTCTCATTTTAAAACCATACGTTAGCTCTACCTACAAAAACTGTGTTAAACGATAAATTACAACTTATATATATATATATATATATATATATATATATATATATATATATATATATATAAATCCCAGTAGATTATATATATATATAATCTACTGGGACTGTACTCTGTTCTTTAGATATATGTGCAGGTACAAATTCTAATGTGGGGCCTGACGAGCCACTGAAAATTGGGTCCAACAATGCTTGACTATAATTTTGCTGCTGTTGATCGTTATTTATTGGGCCAGTCATCTCCAAGTTATGTCTAGCTGTCTCAGAAGTACTTTTATAGGATGTCATTTCAGGGTTTTTATCTGAAAGGGGCTCATCCTGAAAAAAGGTGTTTAGTTCGTTCAGTACAAATTTAACAACTTACACTTAAAAGCGAGAGCAAGAGAAAATAGAGCATGTGTACCACATGTTACAGATTTGGTCGTAACGTGATACTACAGCGTGAAAAATTTATACAAATTAGTAACAAGCAACACCCAAGAAAGTATTGATTCTGCAAATTCTACCATTCTTTCAGTCTGGCGTATCAAAACTAAGTAAAAGTCTGAGAAAGGTCGTAAAGATAGGTGTAAAACTACGTTCATCAATATTATCAGATGAAGATTTCTCAACCTTCATCCGATAAAATACTAGATAAAAATGTGTCCGAAGCGATGTCAAAATAATCGAAGCGAATCGAGTCACAAGTGAATTTAATATAAATTAAAAACATACCGGCTCAATAAACATAATATTAAGTTTTTTGCGAACTTGTTCCAATCGTTGCAGATTTTTATCTTTGTCCGTACGACTATTTTCTCGATATCTTAGCCCCTAAAATTGAATTAAATTTAGTTGCTTCTAATAGTTACAATTGAGAGAATAATGATTTATTTTTTAACTAAGCAGGTACATTACCAAGGTCAAATCCCTGCTATCCACACCCGCGTTTGACATAGCTTGCTTAATTATATTATCTATTCGCTTATTACGATTCATTATGTAACTAAAACAATAAATATAAAAGCAATTTATAAAATACGTGTTAAATAAGTTTCAAAAAACACTCATATGATCTTTATACTTATCTCAAGCTACGCGACGTACTTTGTGCGGTGCGCGCGAACACGCGGGTTGCCTACGCGACAGTTCTGTTAAGATCAATCGATATTTTTATTACCAATAGCCATTCAAATTCTGCTTTACAACGCGTTTATGCAATAAAACAAAATAGGTGTAACGGGGATAAGCTCATTTGTATACAAATTTCATATCAGTAATAGTTATCTAAGTAACAAAAACAGTAAAAAAACGGCAGGTAAAATATTACCAAATGACAAAATTTATCCTTTTTAAGTAGGAAAAATACTACTATATAACGTTAACGTGTTTAAAGTACATTGCATTTAGGAAGAAAACACTAAATGAAAATGAGTACATAATTAAGGAGTGTTAGAAAGTCTTAAATGAAGAAAAAATTAAAATAATAATCAGGTAAAATTTCTTAAGCAATGCTCATACCCTAGATATCGTAAGGAAAAAAATAATTTATGTTTAAACGCATAAATTCGAGTCAAGACAAAAATTACTAAGTGTAAAAAGTTAAAATCGAATACCTACCAAGTGAAAGTTATTCATAAATCGGTAAAATTTTAGTCGCTCAGTCGCCGAAAACGGTGAAATTGTGTTTTTTTTAAGTTACCAAGCGACAACAAAAACTCTTCTTAGCGGTACGAGAGTAAGATCAATCGACGCAGATTTTTTTTCTGAATTCAATGATGTATATAACTCAATATCTTCCAACATGTCGTTTGGTAAATATTGCTTCTCAAGCGTCGATATATATATATATATATATATATATATATATATATATATATATATATATATATATATATGTATACATATATATACCGTTAAGTTGTAATTTATCGTTTAACACAGTTTTTGTAGGTAGAGCTAACGTATGGTTTTAAAATGAGAAATTCAAATTTAAAAGTAATTTGAGTTTGTCTGGTCATACATATGATGGCATCATAATATTTAACCTTAGGAGGAGAGGGAGCATTTTGAATGCTCTTTTAAAATCCAAGCCTTATTGATATATACGGTTTATGGAATCTTACATTTATTTTATAACAAAAATTTAGTTTTATAATAAAATTTTGATGTCAGTAAGTAACTTTTATCTGTTTGTGATTTTGAAGAAATTATTACTAACCGACACTATTTCATACATACGACATATTGAGAAATTTAATAATCTTTAAATGCCAGTTTATTAAGCCTTTAAACTGCATTCAAAATTCGTTGGAATTAAGTAGTTATGACAAAAGGGCGATTTTTTAGAATTTTTTTTTCAGAAATAAAAACTTTAAAATGCTCTAGTGAAGTTGTCAACATGTCATTTGGTAAATATTGCCTTTCAAGCGTCGATATATATATATATATATATATATATATATATATATATATATATATATATATACATCACAGACTACCTCTTGACAGAGACTTGGCTCGCAGCAGTAATAATATTATTGAAAATATTTTACCCCCTGAACACCTACTGTGAAATTTTGTATTAATAATAGCTTACATTAAAATATTCTATACTGCGTAAGATACAATTTAAACCTTTATTTATATCACTTATATCAGTGTCGGATTATCTATCGCTATTTCTTAACACAAAGGTTAAAAATATTGTTCCTAGGTTCAAAAAACCGTTTCCTTGGTGTTAAAAATTAAAATTTTGCATCTCATTGAAGAAATAAACCGAAAAAATAAAAATATTACGTTTGTTGAATGTTTTTAACTTTAACAGCCTCATGCGTTGTACATGGTAGGAATTAAAACCCTTAGCGAGAATTCGTGGTCAAATGTAATGTAATGCCGGAGATTAAGCTCTTCTGACATAAATGTTGATTAAGGCAACCATGTTTCAAAACCAAAACACAATTCAAATATAAAAAATATTATAAATTAAAATAGTGACGACGTGAATTTTCGCGCCTTTTAAAGACCTTTAACCTTCATGCATGTGCATAGGTCCGAGGTCCTTTATATATTAAATATTACGCATAAAATATGTTTTCAATTCCACTCCGATGTTGAAAATATATAATAATAACCTTACCATAACCCTTAAGAACTTTGTTAGCACGCTGAATAATTGAATATTCAAGGACTATTTTACATAAAGGGTTTCAATGTCCTTTGTAAAACAAATATAATATCAAAGTAGTACCTTTGTGTTGAAGCTTAATATATTATTTTTAATTGTTATATGTATTTTTGTAAAAGCATAGATATATGCTTTTACATATTCGTATTAAAAATATTGTGGTACAGACATTTAGTTAATATAAAAAATTGTCATGAAAGATAGCACGTATTTAAATGAATTGTATTTAAAACTATCATTTACGGATTTTATCGCGTTTAATTACTTTAATTTATTTTTATTATTATCCCGACGTTTCGGGTGCTTTATAGCACCCATGGTCACGGGGGGGGGACTGAGATGTTTGACGTCCCAATGTCATTGTTAGCCCGGCTACCATCAGTTTTTGAATATTAATTTTTGGTCCGATTTACGCAAAACGAAC